TCAAGAAAAGTGCAGAATGCACTTTGCCTTCACATCTCGAGCATGCGCGGGCGCCCCGCGATCACTCTGCATCTGTTTTTCACAGTGATGGAGGGGGTGCCGGCATATTGCTGGATGCGCGCAGGCCAACCGTCCCTGCCAAAAGACAATGCAGAGTCCTATTATCGGTCGGTCCGTTTGCTTCGTGGTGGATGGCTATTTTTTTTATTCTGCAGTTGAGGCAAGCACCACGCGGCCCCGCTGCGCAGACCACGTGTGGTCCCATTTCGCCATGTCTGCATGGTCCCGCCGCTCAGGGGTTGCAGGGCCATTGTCAGAACAGCACTCGTCGATGCCGGGCTCGTCGTTCTCCAGATTGTGCATGCCAACGGCATCCCAGACCTCTCGTGGAGCACGTGCCGCACTAGCCGCGCCTCGCGCGCTTGGGCCTCGAGGGTGCTTGGCGCACCTGAACCCGTGAGGCACATGGCATGCGTGGCGCTCCTCGGCGATGTGCTGAGACTCGGGTGCCCATTAGATGTGAGGAGGGCGGGTGGGAGTGAGCGAGACGGCTTGCGGTCTCGGGGGGGCCTCGACCCTAACCCTATCCCTACCCCCCTAAACCCACCACCCTAACCCTAACACCTCACCCCTAACGCGTACTCCTAATCCTACCGCCCTAGCCGTAATCCCCTAACCCTAACCTGAACACCCTAGCCCTAACCCTACAACCATAACCCTAACCCCCAAACCCTAACCCTATCAACCAAACCCTCAAGCCCTAACTCTAACACCCTACCCCTAACACTTTCACCATTATCCAAAGACTCGAACCCTGACTCGAACCCCATATCCCTAACCTTATTCCCTGACCCCAACCCCCTAACCCTAACCCTATTATAACCATCACCCTAACCCTAACCCAAATCTTAACCCTGAGCCAGAACCCTAACCAAACTCTAACCCTAACCCCAAGCGCTAACCCATAACGTCTGACCCCTAACCCTTAACCCCTAGCCTCTAACCCCTAACCCTAACCCCTACCCTCCCTTAGAATGCTCACCGTTGCCTTTAACCTAACCCCACTGCCCTAACCCGGATCCCAAACTCCGAAGCCCTTACCCTAACACTTTAATCTTACCCCCTGACCATAACCTTCGACACAACCCGAATTCTAATCCTATTACCTTAACTCTAACCCTCATGAGCCCCTAATCCCCGAAACCGAACCATACCTGCCTAACCCTAGCCCTAACCCGACCCCCCTAGCCCTAACCCACTACCCCTAACACCTACCCGAACACCCTACCCCGAACCCTACCACACTAACCCGAACCTCCCATGACACTAACTCTAACATCCTAACCCTAACCCTACCACCCTAGCCTTACGCCCCTAACCCGAACCCTAACCCTACCACCCTAATCCTACCCCTCTAACCCTAACTCGAACCTTCTAACCCGAACGCTAAACCCATAACCCGAACACAAACCCTAACCCTGCCTAACCTACCACCCTAACCCTCACCCCTAAGCCTAACACTCTCACCCCTAAACTTCAGGCCTTAACCCTAACACTCTCACCCCAACCCAACCGCCCCAACCCTGACCCCCACTATCTCGGGCACCTCACAGGGAAGCGGGAGGCACTCCCCCCCGCCCCTCTGTCCGGCGCAAGGGGGGGGGGGTCCGACCCCCCCATCTCTTTGAAAAGGAGGGGGATCCGCAATCCCCCCCTCCCTCTCGGGCGCAAAGAGGGGAGCCGCCCCCCTTCCAAAAGGGGGGGAGGAGGGGGGGACACCTAAATTCTTGTCGACTTTTTAGGCAGTCCAGGTCGGTTCATGGAGGGCTATTTTTAAGCACTCTGACAGGTCAGGGTAGATAGACAATATTGTCTCTCTGGGGCGTGGTTTCTGTATGTGCTGAGAGTGGCCCCGGGCGGTGGGACCCGACTTGGGCAGGGAGGGCTGCCATCCGAGGCGGGGATTTGTCTATTGCCACCGCCTGGGGGATCGATCTTCGCGGACCTCCGCAGGCGGTGCGTCTGGATATCTCTTCGGCCCCCCGGGGGCCCAAACATGTCGATATCCACCCCCTGCTGGGGCACCAAGACGTCGGTGCCCAGGCGGTGGATACGGAGAAGCCCCCGCCCCGCATGCCAAGCAGGCGGGGGGGGCTTCTATGAAGGTGGGGGCCTTCTTAGGGGCCCTCTGGGCTTCTAAAAGGAGCCTCCTTAGAAGCCGCCTGGCCCTTCTGAGCGGGCTCCTGGCCCGTCTAGGAAGCGCGCTACCCGGAGGTCGGGCATGTCCCCTTACCAGGCGCATTGTGAAGGAAAGATCACAAGTAGCCAAACATATTCCAAAAGGCTTAAACATATGTTAAAAGATCGTCCCCAGACTATGTTTCAAGCATTTCCCAAACATCCTGTGGTGTTGGGTCCTCATTTTGAAGAGACGGTCCCCGCGTCCCTTCTCCCTCCTTCCTCCCTCTCCCTCCTCTTCCCCCCCCCCCTCCTCCTTCCTCCCTGCGTTTCACCCACCCAGTACAGCACGGCCCCATAGGGAGCTCCATTGAAGGCCCCAGTGGCAGGGTTCGCATGGCGGCCCCGCGTTTTGGCGCACCCCTCACACGGTTCGTGGCCTCACAGTGAGCTCCACCGAAGGTGCCAGCGGCAGGGTCCGCTTGGCGGCTCCGCCCCATTTTGGCGCACCCCTCACACGCATCTTGGCCCAGTGGGGAGCTCCGCCGAAGGCCCCAGTGGCAGGGTTCGCATGGCGGCCCCGCTCCACTGTGGCACATCCCTCACACGGTTTGCAGCCCCAGGGAGCTTCACCGAAGGCCCCAGTGGCGCAGAGTTCGCATGGCGGCCCCGCCCCATTTTGGCGCACCCCTCACGCGCATCTTGGCCGCACAGGGAGTCCACCGAAGGCCCCAGTGGCAGGGTTCGCATGCATGGCGGCCCCGCCTCATTCTGGCGCACCCCTCACACGGTTCGTGGCCACATAGGAAGTTCCATCGAAAGCCCCAGTGGCAGGATTCGCATGGCGGCCCCGCCTCATTTTGGCATCCCTAACACGGTTCGTGGCCCTAGAGGGAGTTCCACCGAAGGTTGCGGTGGCAGGGTGCGCATGGCGGCCCCGCCCCATTTTGGCACACCCCTCACACGGTTCGTGGCCCCACAGGGAGCTTCACAGAAGACCCCAGTGGCAGGGTTCGCATGGCGGCCCCGCCTCATTTGGGCGCACCCCTCACACGGTTCGTGGCCCCAAAGGGGGCTCCACCGACGGCCCCAGTGGCAGGGTTCGCATGTCGGCCCCGCCCCATTGTGGCGCACCCCTTACATGGTTGGTGGCCCCATTGTCAATTCCCCTTGCTTTGTCCTATCTGCCTTGCGGTTGTCACACTTGCGTATGGTTGGGTCCTTCGCCAGGATCAATTTGAATATTCCCCGTGTACAGGGACAGGCCCGACTTAACGCTACCCTCTTTTGTGCGGACTCGGAGATAGCATCCCTTGAGGGGTGCGTGTCCTTGATTGTGGTTGGTTTGAGTCGGCCCAGAAGTCGGGAACCTAGGGGGATATCGACGCATGTGGCCTCCGTTGGCGCAAAGGGCTGCAGTTGGAGACGCGCTGATGTCCTTGGTTGGGGGCATTTCAATTCCAATGGTGCTGTCGTTGTCCTCCGAGTCGGGTTCGGCCAGAACGCAGGGTCTGGCTCGTGAAACTCTGGCGCCCGAGTGCGCCCCATAGGTCGCCCGAAGGCCTCGATTGCCACCCTCGCACCGCCCAGGAGATCGGCGGTCACAGGGTCGAGTCTGCACGGATGTCTCGAGCGAGGCGCCCAATCCATCCACGGCCGCATTCGAGGGTGCCCCTTCGGGCGCGCTTGGCGGTGCGCTTACGGGCCGGCTTGCAGGCGCGCTTGCAGGAGGCGCTCGCGCGGGCGTCTCTCCGGCGCGCGCAGAGCGGGGCATCCTGGCACGCGACGCTGCGCGTGGCGCCAACGTGTGCCGAGCCCAGGTCCAAAGGGGCGTGCGTCAGGCGCCGTGTGCGGCGTTTCGCAGTGGGGTGCGCGTGCGCTGCGAGAGCGAGTCCTCGGGCGATGCGCACCCGCGCCCCCGTTGAGGGAACTGGTGCTTTGCTATCATTTGCTCTGCGTAACGGGTGTTGAATTCATCCAGTCAAGCCGTCAGAGCGACTTCTTAGAGGGCCCCCCCTCGCGCCACCCGTGTGCGCGCCGCCAACAAACCCAGCCCTCCTCGGGCCATGAACAAAAATCATGACGGGAGGCTTTTTCTTTATTTGCGGCGTCCAGTGGCCATTTACCAGGGTCAAGGAAAGGCTCAGGATGAACATTGGGTTTTGGGAATGGGTGAAGACCTCTGTGGGTCGGCGTCATGAATAAACATAACGTAGGGGGTCTGGGATTGGGGTCGAAGTACAGTGGGGGCCCATGACCAGAAACACCCTGCTTGCCTCCAGGGTGCCCTGGGTTTCTTGGCGTTCGATGGTTTTGCGATGCAAAGCGTGACGTTTCCACACCAAAAATCGATGGACGTCCTGGGGTCTCAGGGTTGGGTTTCTTGTGAACAGTTTCTTGTGTTCTGGCCTCCACTGTAGATGGTATTGGCGGATCCCGCTGCATCGCCGATGCATCGGCGATTCGGCTCGATGCGGAGCTGGATTCTCTCGACGCCGATGGTGCAGATGCATTGACGACGTTGTCAATACATCACCGATGAGCCGCCCCTGCATCGGCGATGCGGCCCGATCCTCTGACCCCATCTGCTCGGGCCCCAGCTGGGAGTCCTCCAAAGGCCAGGGTGGCATGCTCGAACTCCTCCACGTACGAGGGGCAGTACCAGAACTACCTCCGGCACGGGCGCGGCGTCCTCACCCTTGCCGACGACACCTATTACGAGGGCCAGTGGATCGAGGACGCCCGCCAGGGCAACGGCAAGGAGCTGTGGCCCGACGGGACCCGCTTCAGCGGATGCTACGTGCAGGGGAAGCGTCACGGGC